CCAACCTAATAGCAAACCTAATTGCAATGGCCACCAACCTATTAGCAATGGCCTCCAACCTAATAGCCAACCTAATTGCAATCGCCTCCAACCTAATTGCAATGGCCTCCAACCGAATTGCAATGTCCTCCAACCTAATAGGACTTGGAATGCCCTGCTCTTTCATTCGACGTGATGCGAAGAGCGGCCGAGAAAAGCCGCCTGGTAGCCGCTCCTCACTAGAACCATGCTGCAGCTGCCTAAGTTGGCCCCCACCTCAAATTCAAGGCACGGCATGAGGAACTGGTTCTGGTGATTCTAGTAGATAATAAAACAAGCTTCCATATTTTTCTTCGATGTTGTTATTGAAACTCCAAGCAAAACCCTTTTGCGGCATGGCACATCTAGCACCAAGCAGTCTGGCCATCCAGCAACCTCAGATTACAAAGACAAGACGGGTTGGACCGAATGTACTCACAAAGCGGAGCCTCAACGATGCTGAAGAGCTCGTAGCACTCGGGCCATTTTCCTGATCCACGCAAGGAGTTCCCACGCAAGGTTCATCTGGGTTCCTTTGTGTAGGCCTTGGCGCTTGATTGTGTCACTCACCACATCTTGTTGTGTCCTGCGAAGCGAAATCTGCGAAGGTTTGAAACACCACATAGCCGTGGATGTATATTAATCTATATGTCCTAATAGCTTCTTGTTCCTAGCAGTACTGCCAGGAGCTACTAGTAGCTTCTTGTTACTAATAGTAACTATAGGCCCCGCGAAGCACCTCACGCAAAGCGGAATGGAAGGCACTGGTTCCAACTTGTCCATCCTCAAAGTCACAAGGACTGTCTCTGGAGACTGAAGGAATCCCACAACCCTAACTCCAAAAAATACATATCTGTATGTATACTTATATATATATATAGTATATTATATATTGTATTATGTATACATGCACCCACACTACATAAAACATATATATATATACAAATATGTTTTCTGTGTGCAACAGCTTCCCTGTGCGCCTGTTGAGATGATCACCTTTCTGTGGCCCCGACCAGGCCATGACTGATCCAGGAGGGCATGTGCCCAGACCAAGCAATGCCATGGATTGAATGTGCTGAACCTGAAGACACCGAAAAACATCGTGTGAAACACATCATGAAAACATCATATCGGTACAAAAAACCAGCTTGGAGGCCATCTACAGTAGCATCAGTCGCTTGGAGGCTATCGCTACAGTAGGTTGGAGGCCATCGCTCTTGTAGTATGTACTAAATGGCGACCGTCCGAAAGGCCTCCAATAGTCTAGGGAGCTGAACACATGAGGTCGCCGTGCAGTTTTTCAAGTTCTTCCTGGGCCACACAAAATGCGATATCAATCGAGGTGTTGCTGCGGCTTGAAGAGGCAGCAGGAAGAAGAAAGAAGAAAGTCTTAGTCTTTGTCGTGAAGTCCAAGACGTAAAGAAACAAGGTCTTCAGATCGGGTCCAAAGAGAAAGGGGTATTAAAAGACAACCAAACAGAAACCACAAACGCTCCAGTCTACAAAGGGGCAAAGTCAAAGGCCGGCGTCCTCGTTTTCAGAATCTGAAGGCACATGAAGGAACGGAAATGGACGATTTGCCACCGAGATGCAGAATTTCTGGAAACTCAGGTCCGGTCAGCACCTCCAATGGGAATCCTGCAATGCAAACACTGCAAGCGTTTCCTGCTTGCGTATGGAAAGTCGTGATGTACTTGTGCAAGACTCCTTGAAATCCCAACTAAGATAATGAACCCACAGCGATTGATTGTTCGGAGCTTTAAGGTTGCTTGTTTGTAGCCCTAAGAGCTCACCCCATGGGTGTGTGGGTCGCCGGTGTTCGGTGTTCGCTCATGGTTGGCCCCGGCGGACTGGGGCGGAGCAAAGCAAAAGTCGTCGGCCAATGGCCAAAGCCATGGCCACTAACCTACTAGCCATGGCCTCCAACCTAAGTAGTGGCTTCTTGTTCCTAGTAGTAAGGCACTTGTTACTAGTAGCGATGCACTTGTTCCTAGTAGCTTATTGTTTCTACTAGCTTCTTGTTCCTAGTAGTACGGCCAGGAGCCCCTAGTAACGTCCGATCGCTCCTAGTAGCGATGCCAGGAGCCCCTAGTAGCGATGCCTTGCTCCTATATAGAGTCATCTTATGAGTACAAAATATAACCTGGTGGGGCGTCTGCCTAGAGGCCTAGCACTGCAGAATTAGATATCACCTGACGGGGGTTTTGGTCGCACACCCCAACATCCGAGCTCTTGCAGCCTGTGCAGAATACTGCATCATCCCCTGCCGGAAGTTGGGCCTTCTCTGTCTGGTGATCCATCGAATGGAGCCACTCCTCGCAGTGTGTGGGATTTGAAAAATACGGTGTTTCTCATTTTGTCGCCAAATCAAACTGCCAAACACACTTTGTCTCTTGGCTAGACTTGGCAAAAGGCGGAGGTACAAAACTGAATGTGAGGAGTGGATTTCAAGGCCTCGCTTTTGTCCACTGGAATTTGGAGTCAGCAAAGCCTTAGCCACAACGATCAGTATTAAAACATCCATCCAAATTGGAAACTGTACCAGCTTGCGAAGGTTAGGGAGGTTCGCGACCGCTTATTTGCAAATGTTGTCATTGCAACATGCAGCAATTCTGTCTCACGAAGACGTCAAACGGCGACGTTTTTGACACGTATCACCGTATCGTATTGGACGAGATGATGATAGTTTAATGAGTTGGGCATGCATCTCCTTCCTGATCAAAAATGATGCATTTCATTGCATTTCCACAAACTCTAGGAACCAAATCATTCAGGCTTCTTCTCCTCGCCCAAAAAGGCGCTGAGGACCTTCCTTAAAGAAGCGTCCGATAGCCTAGTAGTGCTGAACTAGCCACCTATTTATTAAAGGCTTACGCCTAACAGCCGGGCGCCGGCCCACTTGGGTCTGTGGGGCGTGCGTCACACCTATGTTGGCCTTGGTGGGGCCTATATTGAGCAAAGTGAAGCTATCTGGTGCGCATCTTCGCCCTAGGTTGGGCCAAGTTGGGCCCATGTGGTCTATGTTGGCCTATGTTAGGCGTATGTTGGCCTATGTCGGCCTAGGTTGGGCCGACGTTGGGCCTATGTTGGCGTATGTTGGCCCCAGTACGCAATCCAGACAAATGTTCACCGCTCATGGAGAGGCGCGCGCTCGATCCTCACAGGTTCGAACCTTTTGCATTATTTGAATTGTAAATCTCGTCCTGCTGTGGGGGGGGTAGCCCTATAAATCCGGGCACCGGCCACGCGCCCGTGTCCTCGTCGGAGGCCTTCGGTGGTAACCTAAGGTTATAGACGCTCGCCCCCCAACCGCCGACCCTCGGTCCCAAAACGGGTGGACCCCCTCGTCACTTCCGGTTCACTGAAGCCCCTGTAATTTACAGTGTTTCGTGCGTGTGAGGTATAAACAACACTGTTTTTTTTGCATCTTGGCGATGTAAAAAAACGTAGGTTTTTCCAAGGTTTTTGCTTTGTGGGAAGGAAAAATCGTCGAAAAATGTATCGGCAGATTTTTTCAACATAAGTCGCTTAACATATCCCCAACACAGGCCCAAGCAGTGCTGGGATAAGGAAAACATAGGAAAACCACAGTTTTAACATCAATGTTCAGTGTTTTGGGCAATGTGTGGTCCAGGATTTCTTCCACCAGTAGTACACAAACAAGGTCTGAGGCAACCTGAAGTCGATCAACGTGCGGGCATGCGACATCTAAACATTTGAGGCGCTGCCGCGACCTGCGCATTGTATTAAAGAAACCCCAGGAACACCTTAAGTGGTCCAGTTTTCACTTCGTAAGCCGTGAGCATAAAGACGAGGCAGCGCTTCACTTAGCCAAGACATTGATTTCCGTGAGACTTCAATTCCTGGCCAACGTCATTTGCTTCCATGTAGTGCCCCATGTTGGGAGCCTTCAACACATCACCGTCTTGATGTGGAGTTCATGAACGGCGCTTGCGACAGCGAGTCCAGTGCTGTAGCACTTTGCAAGCACATGTTCTCCGGTTCGAGTCTGGGATGCACTTGCCTCAAAACCGGAGACTGCTGTAGATGCAGCCTGGGACTGGTGCACACAGGCCGTGAATCCTTTTCTGTTTGGCCCATGTGATCCCAGGAGCCAGACATGGAGAGTCCTGAAACGTCGCAATGAACACCAACAGCTGCTTGGCCAAGACTTGAAAGGCCAGCGGACGTGGCGGATGCACCAACATGATTGAACCCCACACACACACATGCGCGCCAATGCCAAACGTGCAACCCACAACACTTGATGAACAAATAACTTGCTTGGACTTTGAATAAATATCTTTTCCTTTTTCCCTTCTCATTCTGGTAGATTCTCAGTTTTTGGCAAGCAAACCGAATATTGGCCAACCCCCACAAAGTGAAGTTTGCAGAACCGTAGTTTCAACCTGCGCGATGCATGCCAATTCAGCTTGCAATTTTTGGGTTGGGGGTCAAAAGAAAAATGCTCTCACTCATGGCAGAGAAGGGTAGAGAAGATTCAATTATTAAGTTATGATTCATGATTAGTAACAAGTGCCACGCTAGTCCGCTAGTAGTAACAGGTGCCTTACTAGTAGTAACAAGAAGCTAGTAGTAACAAGTGCAACGCTAGTAGTAACAAGTGCCTTACTAGTAGTAACAAGAAGCTAGTAGAAACTTGCTCAAAAATGCTCTCACTCCCACAGCCTTCACAAGATCGGCTCTCATTTTTTCCTGCTCTTCGGCGCTGGGAATGCCTCGCTCATCAGGGATGAAAACGCGGTCATTGCCCAAGTAACCAGAAACGGTATACAGCTCAGCCGGGAACCGAAATTGTAAGCTGCCTCGGTGCCCGGGCTGGTTCGGAATTGGATAGGGACTGACCTACCGGGACCTAATAAGCCCTCGGCACTTGCCATGCGTAGAAACTGGTGACCAGGAAAACCTCCGGTGGGACACGCGAAGAATATTGTCAAACACTCATGCTTCGCTCAAACAACCTACATCAGGAGAGCCAAGGCCATTGCACTCAGATGTGGCTTCGAGTGGAACCTACAAATTTTCAAATTTCGAACACCACGCGCCGTATCTTGTCGTGCATCTCGGCATGACAACGCTGTCCGCCTTCTTGAAGATAGCTGTCGTCCAGTCATCATCAAGGCCAAACCAGATCCTGCAGGAATGTGCGCGTTTAGACTCCCATCCCCTAATGTAAACGCCGCGAGGTCCACGAGCAAGGTTGTAGTAAAAGAACGTGGTCAAAAACCAAGTGCCGGCGGGCCTTTGGGAACAGTTTCACAACCAAAAAGGTTCATAGTTATCAAAAGCTTTATCGAATCATTTGATTACCGAACGGAATTTTAGAGCGACATGGCACAGTGTGTGCGCGAACGATTGTGCGATGGCAGGCCAGCACTTGCCAATGGAGATTGGTAATTCTCATGGTCCATGGTTTCTACTTTTCATGCTTTTCTCGAGGTTGGAGGGTTTACAATTCAGAGGTTGTACATTTTTGCAAAGTTGGCACATGCGCTTTCTTCAAGCGCTGAAAGCCAAAACGTCTTTCAGGAGCAGGGTTGGTGTAAAAAAGCGGCTGGTGTAAAAAGGCGGTTGGTGGAAAAAGGGTGGTTGGTGTTAAAAGGTTTTTTGGTGTTAAGCGGTGGTTGGCGTAGCTTCATTGGGCTGGGTAGGAAAATCGGCCCCAGTCATGGAACATTGCTGACATAGTGGGTCCCTATGGTCTCCCTACGGTCCCTGGGTGTTGACAAACTCAACAGAGCTATCATCAAATCGTGACGGATTTATGTGAAGTGCAAGTACGGAGCAAACGGTCTCAGTAATCTCTGAATCCTGATGCTCTTCCAGGGCCTGGATGCATTTGCCAGTTTTTCCTAGGCGTGGAGTCCCATGCATCTCTCAACCCACCGTGTTGAACTTAAAGCGCCAGGAGTTCCATGCCGCTGCCTGTCAACTGAGTTGATTGGGCTTTGGGGGGCCTTTGAGCTCGGCCTCGAACACACACTTGCTTCGATCTTGCTGCTGGCTGTATGTTGAAGTGTATAGGTCGCCCATAGCTCCTTATAATTGGCTTTGCCCCGCAGCCCTTACATCACTTGTGCCAATTGTTGCACAAGTCCATCTGCTGGAACTTGTGCTTCTTGTGCTGAAGCTTGTCCTTTCTTGCTTGCCCTGACTAAAGGCATCCGGGTATCCTTCGATGCGGCAGCTGAGCTCTTACAACGACAGCTCCCCTAGCATGAACGGTGAATTAACCGATTAAACTTGAGTGATACTGAGACCACTATACAGTACCCAAATGTAGAAGTTCAGCAGGACGATCTTTTCACCTGATCTCTGAAGTCTTTCAGGTTTGAACAAAGCTAGAAAAACCGCTACAGTGAGACATACATGTATGCAACATAATATATGCTGTATATGTAGGTGACCCAACTTCTAATCAAGTAAACCCGCCAAAAATGACAAGTACCTATTATCGACAATGTTAATTCATGTTAATTATTTTTTTCTTTACACACTACACACCCTCTAGTGATATTGGTAAACATTGATTCTTCGCTTTTAAGATATCCATCACATGCAGCTAGCAAATTAGACAGCAAGTCAACCTCAAGCAAACAGTTTTTGTTAGGTTTGTTTATTTGAACTTGTCAGGGAGAAGCGTGGACTTTTTGCAGGCCCCCTAATAAGCACAAAACCTAGGGGACGAAAGGGGATCTGACAGTTGGTACCCAGCGTAGGAGGTCTTGAAGGCGGCCATGACGCAATGTCCAAACCAATCTCTAATAGCTTCTTGTTACTACTAGTAAGGCACCTGTTACTACTAGTAAGGCACTTGTTACTAGTAGCGATGGGGGCCGGACAAATTTATCATTTTAAGATATCTTAAGGCCCTGACGATTCTTTTCTTCCCTGTTGTCAATAACACATTCCAAACACAAGATCCTACCGGGATGAAAAGAGCAGGACAAATCAACTGGTTTGTTTGGGCAACTTTGACGGCCAGCATTAGAGCATTAGGCCAATTAGGAAGATTTCCGATTTCATACATGGAGTTTCTGGCATCGTCTCTGCTATTTCTCTTTCCACCCCAAACAACAACAGCAAACAAAAAGCGAGCAAAAGCGGCAACGGAGGTGCTATCCTGGACAGGCCAGGCCAGGTGAGCTGCCCTTCTTGAAGGATTTCCGCAGCAAGCTGGTACCTGCAACATCCGAGCATAGGATGTGGACGGCAAAAATATAAAAGACTTTAAGGAACCTAGAAGCGATGGCCTCCAACCTACTAGCGATGGCCTCCAACCTCCAACCTACTAGGGATGGCCTCCAACCTACTAGTAAGAAGTTCTCCAAAGAAACACTTTCGAAGCAATTTGTACTAATGTGCCCATGTCCTAATGATCATGACGGTCAGGTGTGAAAGGGGGTGGGTAGGGTCAGGGTCACTAAAATTTGGGGGGGTGTTGAAGCAGTTCATCACGATAGAAAACATGCATCACTCTGGATGAACGCCCCCAGTCAGCTAACTCTTAAAATCAACATGCAACATGCTTTCGATTGAACTGCGTTGAGGAACAGAATCAGTCAAAACCCACAGCTGGCTTCCATGCGACAGTGCTCAAACGAACCAACTGCGGCTCACCTCAGCATTTCCCATGGTCTTGCCGGGTATCGAACGTGGACATGACCTTCTGGTGTCACAACCTGCTGATCCTTCGGGAGCACAAGAGGCGGTCTCAACACTGCGATGGTGGACACATCACCCTCAAGAGGAACCAAACTGACAAACAAGACCTTTGAGAAAAAAGAAAACATAAGACCTGGTGCTTGCAATGTTGTTAAATCAACTTCTCTCTCCCCGTGATCGTTGTGTGGTGGGTAACCGCGGAAAGTGTTAGATAGGTATAGGTACTAGATCCGGGGGCACGGGACAAGTTCTGGTTTCTTCAATGTCAAGGAACCCCATGCTCACTAGTCGTGTTCTTAATCGCCCAGAAACTGTTGTCATTGTTGTTCACGCAGGTTTGTGTCTGTTCAATTCTTCTCGGGCGGGCCGCAAAAGGCCGTAAAGCTGGTAAGAGCAGAAGGGTACTATGACTAGGGACTATACCCCAGTGTATCCGGGGCGAAGGGTTCTTCAAAACATCTGAAAGAACAGCCCTTCTGATTCAAGGTTCCTTTTGGCTCCTGCTTTGAGAGACTCGACCTGCGGAATCCTTTAGGCGTCTGCTTTCCGTTTCCAATCCACAGTAGGAAAAGTAGAAGAATAAAGCACCAAAAAAAGCCTTTCCAGCTACTAGTAGCGGGCATCGCTACTAGTAACACAGGGCATTTCTATTGGTAACAAGAAACTACTAGACAAATTGCTTCTTCTTGTCCTCTCCTGTTCGTATCTTTCCTCTCCTAATCATCTGTCCTCCACGTCTCCACATGTAGGGCCACACCTTGGAGCAAAGTTGCTCAGCTCCACTGATTATTAGTAATTAGTAGCACATAGCTACTAATAGCTCCTGGCCTTACTACTAGTAGCAACTACTCGTAGCTTCTTGCTACTAGTAGAAGGCCAGGAGCTACTAGTAGCGTCCTTGCTCCTAGTAGCGATGCCCTTTGATCCTAGTAGCGATGCCCTTTGTTCCTAGTAGCGATGCCCTTTGTTCCTAGTAGTGATGCCCTTTGTTCCTAGTAGTGAT